TTAGAGAAACCTTCAACGAATCGTCTGTAATAACCAGCCAGACCCAGAAAACCACGAACTTCAGATACATTCGTAGGTCGTGACCAATTAGTGACGGTTTCAATTTTCGTCGGATCGACTTTGATACCTTCAGCAGGTCCAATAAAAGACACTTGATCGAGCCAAAACTCGCATTTGAAAAGTTTTGCATACAACCTTTTTGTTCGAAGAGTCTCCAAAACGATTTGAAGATGTTGATCATGTTGCTTTCTTGACTTTGAGTAAATCAAGATGTCATCAATAAACACGATAACAAATTCATCGAGATAATCCTTGAAAACCCGATTCATAAGATCCATAAAGACCCTGGCGTTTGATATTATATCCTTTTTATATGCGTTTTTAATATGTTTGAATTTTATTTATTTATTAATAGGATGGATAGTGATGACTATGGTTCGAATGATGATAATGAAATAAATTGGGTGGAAGAGAAGAACAGATGGCTACTATTATGTGTAACAACTATCAAAGGGATAATAATAAGTCATAAATTGAATAGTACACGTATGCCTTGCCACACATCTTCTCGCTCGGGAAACATATTTATTCATGAAGTACTTAACGGTCATTCTAGACGTTGCTACGAAGATTTCAGACTACATGTCCCAGTATTCAAAATGTTATGTTCAGATCTTGCTACATGTTACGGGTTAAAGCCAACACGTAATATATGTATTGAGGAGTCTGTTGGGATTTTCTTGATGACTTTAGCACATGGGTGTGGGAATAGGTTAATTCAAAAAACCGTTAATCATTATGGAGAGACTATTCATAGGTATTTCCATGTTGTTTTGAAAGTTGTGCTTTAGATAAATGCGAACATCATAAAGCCAAATGCAAATTACAATGAAGATGTACCTGTACATATTTTAAAGGGCTGTTTGTTTATCTTTTAATAGTTCTATTAAGAGGTAGCCTTTGAATCTTTAAGAGGTGAATCTTGTTTGACAATTTTTTTGTCTCTTAATGGTTCTAAAACGCTCTGAATGATTTTGCATCCTGAGCCTCCCTTAACCATTCAGCGCCCTAATTTTATTGTAAACATTTATCAAACAATTATATTTTATTTTGTATTATATTGTGAGAGCCTCTTAATCATTCTGACCACTTAATCGTTCTGCACTAAATCATTCAACAACTACCAAACAGCCCCTAAATAACCCTCGTTATTATCCAATATTCAAGGTACTTCCTATATCTTGTTTCGTATTTGATTGTAGCATTTTAATAGATCAATAAATTATTTTACTTTATATGTGTAGGACTGTATTGGCGCTATCGATGGGACACACGTAAGGGCATCGGTTTGAGAGCATGAGCAAGCAAAATACATTGGTAGAAAAGGATACGCGACGCAAAATATCATGGCAGTTTGTGATTTTAATATGTGTTTTACGTTTGCATGGGCTGGATGGGAGGGAACTGCACATGACACACAAATATTTTTTCAAGCCTTACGCAGAATTGAACTTAAATTTCCACATCCAATCGATGGTTAGTATTTTTTGTAGTAATGCAAACTTTTATGTTTTCATACATTTGAAATGAATAACTGTAGTTTGTTTATTTTTCATAACAAATAAGTATTATGTTGTTGATGCCGGATATCCAAATACTAAAGGTTATCTTGCTCCATACAAAGGAACAAATATTCGTTATCACATATGATTTCCGTCGTGGACAAACTGCAACAATACGTGCTCCCAAAGGAGCAAAAGAGACATTTAACTATCATCACTCATCACCGAGAAATGTTATTGAACGAACTTTTGGTGTATGGAAAACTAGGTGGCAAATACTAAAAGATATGCATGTCAATTACACATATGAGACACAAGTAAATATTATGCTAGCGTCGATGACAATTCACAATCATATTAGAATGAACGGTAGTTTTGACGAAGCATTTGACATGGCGCAACAAGAATCATACAACTCTCATATTGATGTTGATGATGAATGATGTGGTAGCAATAATGAAGCACATGAAAACACAAGTTCACGTCGTAAGAGCGACGATCTATATATGAGTGCGGTAAGAGATATGATTGCAGTAGATCTAATAGGTGGATCCAGATGAATATTTATTAAAATGACGATCTATTTTTGTTATTCATATTTTGGTTATAAAAATACTACATTATAAATGACGATCTAATATTATTTTTTTTCTTGTACAGATCTATTATTTTTGTTATAAATTATTAATGGTATTGGTATAAATGTTTATTAATTTAGTTTTTTTGTTTATAAATTATTAATCTTATTGATATAAATTTTTGTCAAAAATATTATTATAAATGATGAAAAATAGATTTTTACATGTTAAAAAATCAAATAAGTTAATAAACAAATTCAAACACTTCTATAAGTCAATAATATGGAAGAATGTCTTTTTTGGTCATTTTACGTATATAAACAAAATTTGTCAAACACTAAAAAACAACTTATCAATTTATTGTTTTTTTGGCACCGCTATAAATTAATTCAAACACTTTTTATAAAACTCCGATTTAATACTACATAAGTTAATAAACACTTTTACTAAAAAAAAAAAAAACATAAATTATTTTAAATAGACAATCCTCATATTCCAAATATTTTATATCGTTGGGGGAAACTTCGGAGTATAAAATTGGTAGTGTCTGCGTGGGTGACATTTTGAAAGCCCACACCACACAAAAGTAGACAACCACCGCGTTCATCTCTTCTTTTGACTCCTGACGGCGTTTACCTCATCTGTCTCTCTCCGACGACGTCCGCAGTCAACCCATTTCCAGATCGCCATTTTTCCCGAACATCAAGCAAATTAGGGTTCTACGTACCAAACCTAATCGGAATATATCTCAATTGTTTCAACAGACTGGAGTTTGATGGCTTAAGTAGATCTCTTTCTGTCTCTCAATGCATAACTTGTCCCAATTTCTCGTTATTAATGGCGATAGACGCAAAAAGAAGAAGACGCCAAGGAAGCCGAAGCTGGAGCGTATGAATGCAAAGAGGAACATTGACTACGAGTTTTCCACGACTTCCACTTCGTCATCCTCGGAGGAGCCTGCTTCAGTACGGTTACGGTCAGCAGCTATTCGAGGTACTCGTTCACTTGAGTTACCCCCTTTAAGTGATGGAACGAGTTTAAGGATTGATGGAAGTGATGTTGGGCAACTTGAGATCATTTATCGTAGATTAGGGTTGGAAAGTCCCGAAGATTTTGGGATTCCCTTGTCATCCTGGGAAGCTAGAAAGATCCGGTCTACTTCCGATCTTATTCGCAGATCTCCTTTGAATTTCGAAACCGATCATGGCACGAATGCGGTTGAACATGAACAGCCAGCTGAAAATGTTGAAAGTCGACGTGATGATATTATTAGGGTTACTTCTGCTGCCGTGGAACAAACATCTGATGCTGTTAGGGTTAGTGGCTCTAACAGAGCTGGGAACGGTATTAAAGGTGTTCGGCCTCCACTTCTTTCTCCCCCCTCTCCTTCCATTTCGAAACCCTTAATGCATCATGATGCTGGATGCGAATGGGATATCGTGAGAACTTTCCCTTCTCTTGAAGGTTCTTCTGCTCATGTCAATCAGCAAGGGTTTAGCTTGCATGAGGAAGAAGAAGCTGACGTGGAGAATGTTAGGACGAGGCTTGAAGGGGCTACACTTTCGGGGTCTTGTTCTTTCACAACTTCCAATGAGGATGATTCATCTAGTTCTACCACAGAGCCTGCATCGAGTATTTCGCCAAATGGATACGGATCTAATATATCCACCAATGGAAGATTCAGACACATCGCTATTACTCACTGGCAGAGGGGCGAGCTCCTGGGGCGTGGGTCATTTGGATCAGTCTACGAAGGCATTTGCGAGTAAGTGTCTAGTATACTTAATACTAATGCTGTCTACGTTTCAACACATTTGTATTTCCGGTTACTTGCATGCTTCCGGACTTCAAGGACCTTGAGATCTAATTGGTTCCGTTGAACATCTGTGCACTGGACAACCTACCTAGGCATGGCCAGTTGAGCAATGAGCCAACCAGTTGTAGTTCTTTTGCACAACATACGCAGGTCATAATAAAAACTATATGATCCTAATGTGGGGCATACAATTAGATGAATATAATACCAGCCTGCTCTAGTTTTTGTTTCATTTTAACCTACCTCACATAGCTGGGATGAAGGCTGTTTCATTTTAGCCTACCTCTCAATCCTAGCGGTTGAGGAAAGATCCGCTACATCCTACCCCTCCCAGGCCCTACTTTCGAGTGAGATATACTAGGTTCGTTTAGTTTGGTTTGATTTGATTTAATTTGGTATAGATATATACAGAGACATTTATATTTTCTACTGTTTTGTGCTACCACTCGAAAAGTTTTCTGGATCCTCTTCCAATGGGGTTAACGTGGCACCGGAGATGCATCCTCGTGCCATGGCACCGCGTTTTAGGTCCATGGCGGAATCCTACACCATGAATAGTGCTTGTGGGAGTTCGCTTCCCGCACACTGACACACAAGCCTCATGCAGTTCTGTTTGCCAGACCCATGTTTTGTATAATGGAACTAATGCATCCATAAGCGTTTTTAATTATGAGTCATATATATATATATATATATATCTGTGTGTACACTGTATGTCTAGATATATACAAGTTAATACTGTAATTAAAAGTAATTAAAAATTAAATCTAATAAACTGTAAGTTACCAGTCCTTTTGTAACTGCTCATCACTGGTTGCAATCTCAAATGGGCTCCAAATCTTATCACAATCAAAGAGAAAAACTGAAGGCTGTGGGAATATGAGCTCACGAAGCGAGGCCAACAAGCAAGATCCGTCTATTGACTATCATCGAAGTAAAGAAATTACAGAAAGCCAACAACAGTACCTAACAAGCATTTGCTTCCATGATATAAGTTCTTATATACAAGTATATAATAGTATAAAAATCATAGTCTATAAATTATGAAATTCAGTCCTATTTTTTATAACCTGTTGCCTAACCCTTGTCTCTTCCAGAGTCATCTCGAGTCCCATCATAGCTATTGGTAAACGTACTTATTTAGTCTTGCAATTCTTGGTCAGGCACAATGTTCAGTGAATGTTGAAGCCAAACATGATTTCTCTCTTATGAGTGGAAGTTTGTTTGATGATTGAGAAAGTTGCTTTATATGATTGCCATGCATTTCACATTCCCAACATTTCTAAAAAATCCAAATCAGTATAGTATCAAGTATGCGTTCTTATCTAAACCTTTCTTGATTGTTTCCTTTGCTGTATCCATTGCCAAATATATCCCGGGAAAGCAAGACTCTCATCCCTGCCTTCTGAGTATCAAGAAAATAGGTCAAATGGTTAAGAGAATCTTGTAGCACTTTATTACTTTTCTATTGTAGGTTTCTAATGCTACTTTCCTTCCTGGGTTTTGGGTGCATTTTGTCCAACCTTCATTTATAAAATTCCTCAAAAAGTTTATATGTTTAAGGAAGCTCTAAAGAGTTGGCAACAAAGTAGCAAATCTAGTGATTTTGGTCTTACTAGATCTCTTGTATTTGTTTGTGACTTCTGGTCACCAAGAAGATGCACATGGGGTCATGTAAAGGGGCTATCTCCTCTTTGGATTTACACCCTGCAAGTCTTTCAAGTTGTTGCAGGTCTGTAAATGTCTAGTGAAGAATGAAAAGGTTAAAAAACACAAAAAAAAAGAGATCTATGTTCTTTGCTTCGACTCCATATGAGCATAAATGAGATAGCTGCAATGTAGTCTCATAAACATACATCCTAAATCCCAAAAGTACATTACACCTCATACATGATACATATGAAAAATGAGCACTTCCTAACAATCATGTTTGTTCTTTCTTGCAGTGGTGGATATTTTATTGCTGTGAAGGAAGTCTCTTTGCTTGACCAAGGGGAACAGGGAAGGCAAAGCGTTTTGCAACTTGAACAGGTAAACAAGGCCCATGTCTTCTACTAATTTCAATACATAGTTATGATATGATCTCTCTGAATGGCTCTATCATCACCTATCTATTGCTGACTCCCTTATTCTGATCTTTGTTTATTTGTCCAGGAAATTGTTCTTTTAAGTCAGTTCGAACACGAGAACATAGTTCGATACTATGGGACAGATAAGGCACTGCTCTCTTGCCTTCACTTTATGATTTTGATGCTTTCCTAGATTGTTCACAATATGTATTAAATGGTATGTTTTCCCCTTCAGAAATCAGTCTCTCTCCCCTAGACCTGGACTGGGACATTGATGGAGGGTATTAATGACAACTTCATCATGTGTTAGCTTTATAGAGTACAGGAAATATTGATAGATTGCCAGTCTATAACTGAATATAGTATTCATATATCCATCATCACCAGCAGAAATATGTCTGCATGTTCTTTTGAAGTAATCTATGAAATTCTTTCTTCTTTGTGCTGTTAGTATGGTATACTACTAGGCTTGTAGCAGACAATGAAATGCAGAAGAAGAAACAGCAATAGGACCATGTGCCACACTACTTAAGGCCTAAAAAGTTATTTCCATAGAATAGTAGAAGCTGAAATGCTTTTCTTCCTTAAACCTTGTTGCCAGGGTTTTGTTATTCTTAAGAAAAAGATACATGGTTTCTTCTACATTTCATTGTCTGCTCAATGTCCTAGTCAATGCGGAAGCTTTCTTATAAGTTGGACCTGCCATATGCATAAGGAATTCCTCCAATTTCGAAGGGATCTCAGCTAAAGGCGTGGCCCATAAGTTGTTTTCTTGTCTTAATTTCATTTCTGCATGGAGTATCATAAATGTTCCATTTGAGCAAAATGAATTGGGAGCCCTCCTCTATCTGACTGATTGTATTGTATCCATAACTGTTGGCCAACTTAGAATACTTTTTACAGAATTTTCTGTAGAAAAACTAGAAAATACTTCTTCCAGGATTCCTTGTCAACCAGGAAATTGATGTTTATGCATCATGTGCCTTGCAGGACGCATCAAAGCTGTATATATTTCTTGAGCTTGTAACAAAAGGTTCCCTTTTAAGTCTCTATCGGAGGTACCATCTTCAGGATTGTCAAGTTTCCTCATACACACGGCAGATCTTACATGGTCTGAAGTATCTGCATGATCAGAGTGTGGTACACAGGTATTGCAACTGAAAATTTGCCCTTTCCGTATTAGGTTGTAACTGATACTGTATGAGGCCTTCTGTTGTCTACATGTGAACATTTTTTTGTTGTATTTTGTATGTCTTGCATCTATCTCCCGCATTAAAGTACCAAGCATTCACTTTATCATCTTACAGTCATTGATGTGTCCAAAACTTTTTTTGAGGATACTAAAACCATGTCCTTCAATGGTAAGGCATATATTTTCTCCTGAAAGTGGGTGACCCTCATGGAAGTGTAATGCGAGAATATTACATTAAAACATAATTATTTTTAACTGTAAATAGTGATAGTGCACTAACATGAGCTTTATCTCTTCCATATCATTTACACCTAACTCAAGCAAGTGTTTGTCCCAGAGATGTCACTTAGTACATGATGGGAAGAAAAGAAGGGCATAGTGGAAATTCTGCAAAGTTATTATTCTGAAAATGGTTATTCGATTGGATTAATTGTACATATATTGTTTCAGGTGAAGTCGAGGAGATTTCATGTTATTATGAAGTATTTGATTAGCACTCAGGAATCCACGTCTTTAATCTATTTCCATACCCAGCAGTAATTAGGACCAGGGAAGATTAGGTTAGGTAGTAGATATTATGTTTCATGATAGCAGTGACTCTCTGAGTCATTTTTTGTGTCGTTGGCTATCATTATAATTTCATTCTTGTTAGATTACAACATCCACATCCATATGTTTTGGATATATCCAGCTCTAAATATCCGAAATAAAATTAGAAAACAGAACACTTAAAATTTATGAATGACTTAAAACAGATATTGTTATTTTTAACCCAAACTTAATGTTTTGTCTTATTTGTAATTCCCAATATGAAAAGCCATGTAAGAGTTGGTGTTAATATATTTAATTTCAATGGCCTAGTTTAGTAAATATAATGCATGATATATATTACTATAAGTTATTAGATTAAAACCTTCACTGACAACCATATCCATTCAAAAGAATCTACTTGATATCTTATAATCTTAACATAATCTAATATATCACATATTTGAGAATATAAATGAGTATATCTGCATGTGCATCCTGTTGTAGCATATGCGGATACAAATAATATCTGTCTTTTGATAACATCTGCATTGACCAAATATGGGTGCTGATGGATATCAGATTTTCGAATATCTATTTGTAGCTAGCATGGACTCTGTTTTGGTAGTACTACCTCATACGTGTGTGTGTTATTGTTTCTATTTGATTGTGCAAGCAAGGCACAATATTCATATATTTGTACATGATTTTTGACATAAATAATGAATGCATGCATACTCCAATTCCTTTACACCCTTTTCAATTAAACCCCAATTCATTCTCTCTCTCTTCCCCGTATATTTATTATCCGGATGATACATATCCTCTCTAACTCCCATATATATACACACATACACATAATTGTATGCATATGCACACCATAATTTCTCTGTGTCATGGGCTAATCTATGGAAACCATCAAACTTACCACATCTGCATGTAAAAGACATATTCAACTAAAAGTGTTTTCTTGATGTACACCAGACCAACTTGATTAAGATAGAATTGAATTTTCTTCTCTAAATCGAATGATTACAATAGTATTTCAGCAATTCGAGAAGCTGGAGGTCTCCCAAGACTAGCGCCCAAAGTTGGTTACAAAATTCTCGATACCTCCCTATTCCTACTTCCTTTAACTATATTAAGTAAAGCTACTAACTGACTTTCTACCACTGCTTCACCTACTTGTACCAGTGCACTAACTTCTTGTACTCCCTACCCCAGCCCACCCTGTTAAACTTATTGATTTTCACACGCCACCTATTTTGATCCCAATACCAGGGCATAACATTTCTTTCTCTTCACACCTAAAGTTCTCTTCTGAAAAATTAAATAAATGGTAAATTTGATGGTAATTTGGTGGTCGTTCATTAATCACATCTCATTGGTGTGAAGCTTCTTTTCATTCCCTCCATTTGCAAATTATGTAGATGCCAAAGGATTTTTTAAGTTCTGGCATCTTGTCACATGTGGGCTTCCGATGTCAAATTTTTCTTGCTTGTTTTTCAGGGATGTAAAATGTGCAAACATATTGGTTGATGCTAATGGCTCGGTGAAACTTGCAGATTTTGGGTTGGCCAAGGTTCCTCCAATCTTCGTTAATTAAGTTTTATTTTTGTTGCAATTGCTGTGTCTCCTCCCTTAAACCTTTTCTTGTCTTGTACAGGCTGCAAAGCTCAATGATGTGAAGTCTTGCAAGGGAACCGCATTCTGGATGGCTCCTGAGGTTTGTTGGATATGCTTTTTTTCCCACAACTGAAAATATTAATATTTGTGAATATATGAATTATTTGTGTCGTGAATTAGTTGTTGCGATTGATAGATGATTTATGATATAGCTATTGGCTAGTATTGATTGTTTTTTTTTGTTTCTAGGAACATTAGGCTCTTTATTTAATAGCAGTAGATTTTGACAGTAAGATTAGAGAACCAAATCTATAAATCTATCAAATATTATTATGTTGGCGTGATACAAGGCTAGTTAATTCACTTTCTTATAGTTATATTTGACACTTGATGAATAATTTACATTTCTGCATATTATGAGCTCTCATCACTTGTGCACGACAGAACTGGCAATCCCTTGTTAGATCTTCTGTATGGAAGTTTCCTACCTTACCTGTGATATGAACAGAAAGATGCTTGACGTGGCCTTGTTGTCTTTAAGATCATTTAAATTACAATGGAGTGTTGATGCCATCTTTTGTCCTTGGTCTTCCTTTCATCAAGCATCCACTGCTTTACTAACTTGTACATGTTAAAAGTTAAAACACAACAATTATTCTTTCAATGTGAACTTCAACTTTGGAATTCTGGGACTGCACCTAATGCAGTCTCATATGCCCCTCATTCCATCATAAATATCTCTATGCTCAGAGTATTCTCATTCCATTATAATTGTCTCCATGTTCAGAATGTTTTAATAAATAGAAAATAAATTCAGTTATACTCTTGTTCCAATATCCTAGTCTAAATTTCCTGATGATTAGTTGCATCTTAGTTGTCCACTAACCAAGATCTTTGCCTTTCCTGTTGTTGTCATCCAAATGCTTCAATGTCTACCACACAATAATGGTGATTATCACAATAAGAATACATTTTTTTAGACTTGCCACTTGCATGGAAGACGAGATGAGGGGGATGAGCTGAATAAAACTTGTTCAACTTAAATTGCATTGTATGCATAGTGTTAGGAAATTCCTAGAAATCTTTGAGAGAATTTTAGATGTTTGAGCAGAGAATTTCATTAGATTAAAAATTGTTAGAGATTACAAATGATTAGCCCCACTTATTTATAGGCTAAACAAGAAAGAAATAACAGACTAACAGAACTAGCAACCAGCTGTCTACCAGAATTGAAGTCACACCCGACAAATCTCCACCTTGACTTTAATTCTACTCAAGTAAAAAACAGAAAAATTCTACTTCCAGCTATCAATGTTTAGGAGATCTAAACAATGTCTGAACTTGTTTAAAGAAACAGGTTTAGTAAGTGCATCAGCTGGGTTGTCATCGGTCTTCACTCTTCACTTTCTTCACTTTAACTCTTCTTTTTGATTGTATGAACGTCTATGTGCTTCATTCTTTCATGATGCACCTGATCTTTCGCAAGACAAATAGCACTTAAACTGTCACAAAAAGTGACAGCTTGATCTTGATGAAACCCAAGATCTCCAAGCAGACTCTTCAGCCAAATCCCTTCCTTGGCAGCCTCTGTAAGTGCCATATATTCAGCCTCTGTTGAGGATAAAGCAACTGTTGGCTGTAACGTTGTTTTCCAGCTTACTAAGGCATCTCCAACAGTGAACACATAACCTGTTAATGATCTTCGAGTGTCAAGGTCAGCTGCATAATCTGAATCTGAATACCCAGCAACAAAACTGTCTCCTTTTCCTCCATAAATGAGACCCCCATCAGCTGAACCTTTAAGATACCGAAAAATACGTTTCACAGCAGCCCAACCCAATGTTACTTTCCTGGACAAGCCATATGGCGTGAAACGACATTAATGGCATGAGTTATGTCAAGCCTAGTGCAGACCATAACATACTGCATACATAAGACTTCCCACAGCGCTTGAATAAGGAACTCTGATCATATACTCCACTTCAGCTTCTATTTGAGGAGCCAAAACCACCGACAACCTAAATTTTCAGATGATGGAGTGCTCAAAGGCTTTGCCGAAGCCATACCAAACCGAGAAAGTATCTTCAAAATGTAACTTTCCTGTGACAAGAAAAGTTTACGTCTGGATCTGTCTCGAACTATTTATCCCAAATATCTATTGAGCAATCCCCAAATCTTTCATATCAAACTCAGAATTAAGGAGTTGTTTCAACCTCTTAATTACAGCCTTATCTCGAGCTTCTACCAACATATCATCCTCATAAAGTAGCAAATGCACACGTGAACTATCAACCACTTCCTTATGATATATGTAGCAATTATAAGGACTTCGATTAAAACCATGTTTCACCATAAAGCTATCAAATCGCTTATACCACTGCCTCGGAGATTGCTTCAACTAGTAAAGCGAGCTTACAAACATAATCTTCTTTTCATTGAACCACAAATCCCTCCGGTTTACTCATATAAATTTCTTCTTCAAGATCTCCATGCAAGAATGTTGTTTTAACATCCAACTGTTCCAACTCCAAATTTTGTTGTGCTACTAGTGCCAACAGCACTCGAATGGTTGTATGACGCACCACCGGCGAGAAGATTTCATTATAATTAACCCCTTGCTCTTGGCTATAACCTCTAGCCACCAAACAAGCCTTAAATCTCACATTTTCAGCTCCTGGCAGCCCTTCTTTCCACTTAATACTCCATTTACAGGTCACAACTTTTTTGCCTCGAGGTAATTTCACCAATTCCCAAGTCCTATTTTTGTGAAGGGACTCTATTTTTTCACTCATGGCTACTATCCACACATCAACCTCCTTTGTTGTGATTGCTTCTCTATAAGTAGACGGCTCAAAGAACTCCAATTCTTCAGCAACTTGTAACACATAGGCCACCATGTGATCAAAACCATACCTAATCGGCCTACTAACTTGTCTTCGAGGCGTGTCTAACGCTTGAACTAGGCTTTTGTGAGCATTGCATCTTTGCATCTTGGTATTATGGACAGCCTTTGAAAAACTCACTCTCCTTTGTTTTCCAAAGATGCAATGCTCACAAAAGCCTAGTTCAACAACTTTATGACCTCCAAGAAGTCTTGCTTGCTGAGAATGGGCATGCCTTTCTCACTAACATGCCCCAGCCTCATGTGCCACAAGAGTGTCAAATCTGACTCGTTTTTATCAGAACTAAAGGCTGGTGATGCTGACCCAACAACTGTGTTGCCTTTAAGCACATACAAGGTACCTTTCTTGACTCCTATCATCACCACTAATGCACCTTTAGAGACCCGAAGTACTCCCTTTTCACAGTTGTACTTGAAACCTTTGGAATCTAAGGCTCCCAAAGAAACCAAATACTTTTTCAAATCAGGTACATGACGAACATCAAGCAAAGTTCTCACTACACCGTCGTACATTTTGATACTTACCGAACCTATTCCAGCAACATTACATGGAACGTCTTTCCCCATTAAAACACTTCCTGTTGCAACCTTTTCATAAGTACCAAACCAGGCCTTATTCGGTATCATGTGAAACGAACACCCGGAATCAAGAATCCATTCATCTTGCTTACTTTTAGAGTCAACTACTGGAAGAACTAGATCAACCTCTGAACTCGAATCATCTTTACCAACAACAGCGGATGCCTTCTCATTTCGTTTCAGACATTCATTTTTCCAATGTCCAAGATAACCACAACTGTGACATACATCTTTATTTCCAAAATCAAAAGAGCGATTGGGTTGAAAAAAAAAGTAAAGGGGATTGCTTAAGATCCTCGACCCCTAGATCTTGATTGACTTCTTCCTTTCCAACTTGCCTTTACCTTTGTCTCGACCCTTTTCTCTACCTTTATTTACCATTGACAAGCCAATAGATTGGCTTCCAGTTCCATTTCCAGAAGCTTTATGGCGTAATCTCGTGAATGCAAACTTGATCGAACTTCTTCCAAAGTAATTGTGTCCCTTCCAACTACAAATGAGTTGACAACAAGATGGTGCTGTGAGCCTTCTCATCTTATTGATTAAAATCAGCGTCGACCATATCTGCAGGTATTTCACCAGCCAAAGGAGTCCAAATTCCTTGCTGTTTTAGGAGAGCTATCATCTTAATTCGTCATAAGCTGAAATTATTCTTTCCAGTAAACTTGTCGATCTTGATCATTTGTGGAGGCATCCTTAAGTTCTTGAATGAATCAAGGCAAGAAAGATCTTCAAGTGTGTGTGTTTTAACACCAGAAAACGATCACCAGATAGGGAGTTTTCTACCCAATAGCCTAATCGCAAACAAGGAGATATGAACCAATTTTGATCGTTCTACACCCTTAGTCAATCACCAAACAGTCACCAATTCCAGTCGCCCTCCAACAATAATCGAACACCAACGCCAATTGATCACCAATTACATTTGCCGGTCACCTATCGATCACCAATTTCAATTGCCGGTTACCAGTCGATCGCTAATTTCAGATATTCTCCACCTTGAATCCCGTTACCTTGAATCGGACTTCAAGATTGACACAATTGATTGCCAAGATTGCAATCTGAAGAAGCAATTCCAAAAGTCAGGTCGTCTTGATCAATCGCAGAAGCAAGAACAGAATTTCCAGAACCAACATAAGCGTGTCAATCATAACCACGCTCTGATACCAATTTGTTAGGAAATTACTAGAAATCTTTGATAGAATTTTTGATGTGTGAGGCAGAGAATTTCATTAGATGAAAAATGAACAGAGATTAGAAATGATTAGCCCCACTTATTTATAGGCTAAACAAGAAAGAAATAACAGACTAACAGAACTAGCAACCACTTGTCTACCAGAATTAAAGTCACACCCGACATATAGGAAAAGGACCTGAGTTTTAGACTCTGGACTGTATTGGACGTTATTAGCAAGTGATGACAGGAATTTGAAATAAGTAGTGGAAGGTGTTGAAATTGCAAACATTGAACAATTACCGAACATGTTTCTCATTCATCTCATTTCCTAACATGTGCAGAAGTCGACCAATACTTCATCCATGAGGAAGCAACAGATCTTTAGATTGTCAACCTTCGACTGTTAGAATGTCCCTAAGATGGATGGCATACACGTTATGAGATTAAATGCTGGTAGCAATATCTCATGTGGAGCCTTATGGGTAGTGGAGAGGAGACTGTTTCATGTGGATCAATATTTCATTAAAGCAATCACCAACATCAACCTAACTGCCAATCCTCCCTCTCTGACTTCCAATGTTAGAAATGTCTTGAAAATAGGGTCCACTGTTGGCGAAATCATTAGACCCCCTCAAAAAACCTCGTTCCTGCGGCACCTTAACATGTTGTGGGTTTTTTTTTGCAAGCAGTAATGTGATTGCCTTTCTTTGCTAGAGTCACCAACATTACTCCACTCTTGTTATCATTGCTGTTGCATAAGGTCATCATCTCTGATCAAGTTGTAATTGATGCTTATATGAGTGGCTTAACTCATGTGACTCGTCTGTTTGTCATGATTGTAGCTTGACCTATTCAACCTAGCAAAATACTTCAATACTTCCTCAAAAGGTATCATCATTCTGTCAGGGGATCTTACTCTGCAAGAGTAAATACATTTAAGATCTCTTGCCTGTGCGTGGTCTGCTTAGGTGTAGAGCATACACCCACTTAACTACTTCTTCAGGACACAGCCCCTAAAAGATCTAGATGATGGTTGCAATACTAGCTTTCAACTGTTAGACACCTGAGTACACGAGTGTGAATTCACGTCAACACCTTAGAGTGTCCATTACACTGAGGCATCTCAACAGAGTTTCTGGTATGAGGTATTTCGTATTCATGTCAAGGATGTTGAGGATTAGAAGCATTTGTAATGGAGGACCTGACAATATTACAAACTTCTGGGCTGCAGATTGAGCAGACAATCCAACTTTTAACCAGTACTGTGGTAACCTTGTTGGCCAATGTGGTTGTGAATTGTCCTGGAAACTTATCCTGTTTGGCACTCTCTTTGCGGTAAATAGATGTGTAATCTGTATAGCCAAAAATCAATCAATCTATGAGAGATGCAAACATATAGGGGTCAATGTCATCGTCAGTTGAATCATGTTGCATGTAATATGACCAACTCTTCATCTATCCAAGGTGTTCATATCAGAAGAATACCAATTAGTTGCCATTCTAACGGAGTCCCTATTGGAAGACTCAGGTCGACTTTCAGCGGAGTGTTAGTTGTAGTATTTCAATTCATATAACCAATAAGTATGTTTTGGTTGTTTTTATCGTTTATCTTTCTCAGCACAGGAGCATGCATGTGTAGATTATATAATGGCTTCTCCCTCAATAATAGTTGTCTATTCAAATCCTAAATACTTAGACATATATAATATGTATCAAGGATCTCGAACATGCAGAAGCAACATATCTTTATATTGTAAACCTTCAATTGTCATAGGGGACTCACTTCATTCTGGGTCAATGAACTTTGCAGGTTGTTAATAACAAAAATAATGGGTATGGGCTTGCAGCAGACATATGGAGCCTTGGTTGCACCGTCTTGGAGATGTTGACACGTCAGATTCCGTACTCTCCGTTGGAATGTGTATGCTTATTTTCTCTACAAATCAATGGATTCTTGCTTGCTAGCATATATTTCTTTTGCTTATTTAAAGAGTTTGGCTTATTAGATCAGGCATCTGCTAAACTTTATTGTCAGACCTAGCGATTCCTCTGTTTTTTATCCTTACCTCGGTAGAACAGAACAGTCTGAAAAGTATGTTTTGTGTTCTCCCATTAATATCATCTTAACTCTATTTATGTACCTAGTTGAATATGTTATAGCTTAACGTCATCCATCTGTGAAGTATGAGTTAACGATCTTTGACATATTTTCCAGGTCGAAAATGAACACTCTGTCACTCAACCGGTGTTATTTGTCTAGCTGAATATACAATGGGTACATCCACAGTAATTGATATAGTTACAGAGTGACAGGGACGATAATTGTTTTTAAGCTACCATCGGTGCTTTCAGTTCTGTCTGTGTTATCTTCCATGTTTGCAAGATTATTCATGTAGTATGGCTTCCCTGTCACTGTCTAATCTGGTAAAATCATCGTAAAACACTTCTGTGCATTATTGCTACAGATCGTATAGGTCAGAACAAGCGCATGCATGTACATATATCAAGTCATGCCAAATTGGCAAACACAAGTAGCTGTCCATGTTCTTTTATTCACAATCTGAAAGTATAAGGATTCCGGTTTGTTTCCGTTCAAAAGAGCATTAACTATTGATGCTTTGAGGTGGCATGCATTATTTTTTGAACTGTCTAGACTTTTACAGGTATTAATTTGGTTGTAAGGTATTTGACAGCATGGTATTCCTGTGATGAACAGATGCCTGCATTATTCAGAATTGGGCGTGGTCTTCCTCCACCTATTCCGAATTCTCTTTCGAGAGAAGCAAGGGATTTTATATCCCAGTGTCTTCACGTTAATCCAAGAGATCGTCCAACTGCTACTCAGCTCTTAGACCATCCATTTGTTAGCAGGCCACTTCCGTCGTTCTCAGACTATGTATCTGGACACAGCAGGCTAGGCGTGAAGTAGAATCAAACAAGGTAAATAAATTATTTACGCTTTATGATTCTATCTAACACCCCCTCACAATATCATTAACTTGTCAAAGGTATCTCCAATTGAAATAACAATAAATGCAGAAAGAAGGATATTTAAAAACTTAATAAAATTGAAGTCTTAGATGAGTTATTCATTACCTACACAAGACTTACCTATTCTTTTATGGCTTGCTTTCCTAGGACAGAATGAAGTAGAGTATTAAATACTTCAATTTGTGGTCTTGTTGAAGTTTTTGTGGGAAGAGGCTTTTCTCGTTGCTCCTGGAGATGTATGTATGTATTTCTTGATGATGATGATGCTGTGAGGAATCTCTGTACTTGGTAACAAGATTGATTGTTGTTTAGTTTGTTTGTACATCGATTCAATTCTTTTGGATGAATAAAAATAGTTTGTTAGGAGGTTTAGTTTGAAATGTAAAAGCTAAAAAGCACCAGCTCAGTTCAGATCATGTTGTTTAATGCATATATGATTAAGAAGTATTCTATTACCCTATTTGCTAATTTAATTGAGAATTTTGCATTTTACTAGGGTATATTTTCTGGTATTTGTGAGCTAAGATTGGGCATCTTTTAGGTCCAAATAAGAAAAGATAAAAAGGTAAGAACAAATGATCCTTATATGAATTATTATTAATTAGTAAACCCCCAAAAGAAGTAAAGCAAGTCTATTTGAAGATTTATTTTTAAACTTCCTCTCAAGCCTTTTAACTTTCTACGCATGATAGTCACGAATTAAATCATAATCAAATTGCTTTGGGTCAGTTACCAATCACGAATTAGATCATAATCAAATTGCTTTGGGTCAATTACCAATCACGAATTAAATCATAATCAAATTGCTTTGGGTCAGTTACCAATGTCAGTAACTGATGATTACACAATTCGAACAATTGCCTCTCACCATTAAATAAGCATGACCAACAAGAAGGATGATAGAATCCAAGACCTTCCAGTTTATGAGACAAGTGAATAATTTGTCATCTTGAATGTTACTTTCTTGGTACAATAAAATACATATCCATCTACAAGTATAGCATGAACGATATGATTCATCTTATCATTTTTGGCACTCTAAGTTTAAAGTAAATCTCGATTGATTTCATATACAAAATCATGATACACCAAATCCGAGAGGGTACGATCACATTCACAAAGATAAAACGGTAATCAAAAAGATCATACACGATGAGTTAAAAAATGATTCAGTGAATTCTATTCCAATCCGACTCCAAATCCCCATAGGTGGATCATGAACATGGAACATATACAGGTGCAATTTAACAATATGATGATGAAAACCACAAATCATTCCAACTCTTGGCTCCTCTTACTCCGAGTGAGATGTCCAATAAACAAGCCCGCTGCATTCAACATCATCATCCGGATTTTCAATATTTTGCAAGAGAGATGTGTACAAAAAAATAAACACTTACCTGATTAACACAAGCACACACTGCAAAACACCAGCAGTTCCGGCCCAAGCTGAAGGGCCTTCTGGCACGAGTGCATCCTGTATCAACAACCCTACTGATGCTGCCAACGAGACAAAGGATACCACATAGGCCAAGAAAAGCCAAAGCTTCAACCTGCAAACATACGATATTTGTGACATCAAGCACATTGATGATAGATAGATAGAACACTTGGCTAGATTAAAATTTTAGAGGAAAGAAGATTTATAGCCCACATGTGATGTACAACTTTATCTTAAGGCCTCTTTCTTAGCAGCTTAATGAGACACACAACTTATTCGGTCAACTATACATTACTATTCAGTAGTGGCTTAAGGATATAGAAAGTGGCTTTATGTAGAAAGCCAAGTTTTTTCCAAACCTGCCCCTCCCAATTAAAATACATGCCCCTTCCATCTATGAAAAAGCCCTCCCAAACCAAAAACTACCCAATCTATACAGACTAATTAATCCATGTAGATAACTTTATCATACAGAACTTGATGGAAAACCAACCAAGCATAACAGCCAATCACGAACATGACATGAACATATTTGCATGGAATCATTAACAGGATCTTTCGGACAGCTACCAGTTCAATGTCTTATAGTGGTACATTTATCACACGCCACCTAGAAGCCACAGAGAGATGGGAAACATAGGAAGGATGTCAATGCAGACGTATCAAACCTGGAATGCATCAAGACCTATTTAATAGAACATTTAAACTTAGCTGAAACCAAAAAAGACTGAGGAAAATAATGCCACGCTGATAAGTTACCGAGAAAGTTCAAAATCAGCAACTTGAGTAAAGTTTAAATCAGAATATAGTAGAACAAGAAAACTGCTTGTGAGAATGATCGTCGGTTTTTACGCACCCAGTCAGGGCCTCAAGAGTTCTTGGGAGAGAAAAGTTTCAATGAACCTTGATAAACTCGATAGATTGATAACCTTCTGTTGTAATTGACAGGGTTAAATACACATTAATTTGAAACAGAAAACTACTTTCCAGCCCGTAACTCCAGACATGTCCTCATGGAATATGACCAACAATTTGACCTATTCTTTGGAAAGAACGGTCTTGCATATCAATCCATGAACTTGGGATTCACCCTGGGCACTCATGCAGACCTTCTTGGCGTATCAAGTGGCCATATTAACATATCAATGGGCAAAACTAGATGGGTACAACCAACTTTTCAATCTTAAATTGTATTTAAGAGATGGACGTTCAAGACTAATCCTCAGCCTATCGGTCTCCATGAAAATCATAGACAAGGTTTTGTTTAACTAAAGCTCCCACATATGCAATTGAAAATTAAATTTTTTAGATAAGGTTGAAAGTGGAGAATATTTTGTCAAGACACGTCTTAATCTTCTCAAGAGGAGCACAGGTGCCCCACTGGTAACACATAAGAAGTTCCTATCTGTTTGAATTAAAAGAAGAAGTTGGATTCATGTTTTTTTATTGGACAAATCATTGCAAAAATATAGGGGAAGTTAATAGGTACTACCCATAATAACGAACTTGCAAAACGGATCTCCGGTTAGAGACCAAAGATCTTGAGTGACAGATCCGGTGTGATTTATATGTTATGTATGGCCGTGCGTTTAGCCTATAATAGGGTAACAGAAGGGAAAAGAAATTCCTTACAATGTATGTGATTACTATTTTAAGGTTATGTATGCTGGCATAGTAACAAGCATTGACGTATTTACAGGCAAGAGATTTTTCCCACCAAGTACTTATCTTTATTGCTTTAATTATGAAAGAGCTCATGAGATATAATTTGGTATATGTTTTTTGTATGTCAATTCATCAGAACATACAAGATTGTGTTCCGGAGTTGGAAGTATGTAGAATCTTCAAAGGTCTACATCCAACAACATATAACACATTAGGTTATACAAAACCAAAATGATGCTGATAGAAAAGCTGAAATGCAGTAAGCATGTTAGGACAGGACGTGGTCAGAATATTATATTTTGTTATTTGGGATCAGGTTTATAGAAAGCCACCAAAGATAAAACTAGAAGGGGGATGAAGCTTTGGGGTCTTACCTGATCAGAAAACCATACCCAAGCCAAAAGGTAATTTATGTAAGATGACAATAACACTTGCTATGATTATGCTAGCCATTTTGTCAGGCCACCATACACATCATATATGACAGCTCACAGCTGCATAGCATGAGGGGCCACACATCAGGTATAGGGTTGGAAATGATGATCCTGGGAGAGTGATGGGATGACATCCAAGGGGAAGCCAAGGCAACACTAGTTGACAAAGATATTTTACAGGGTCTTGTTACTCTATATATTTCTTAAGGTTCATGGCCTTTGTTTGATGTAAATGTTCTTTGATAACCCAAGAATGGCCAACACTAAGGGCACATTAGCAGGGCCACCTTCTTTTAACCCTAGACACTTCCACAGTAACAGCGGTAAGGCTTTTGATAATGAACTCATAGCCATGACTAGAGACAATCATCAATAGAGTATGCCTACATCTGTAAGCCACCACCTTCAAGCACCACAAACAACTCCGTGACCTCGCTGCAAATACCCTTATGCCACCTCACTTGTCTCATGCTGAGCTGTGAGATTATTCTCATGTTACTTCCCCTTCATTTAGTTCATTCACATAATGTACGAAATCAATTTGGCACTCGGATCAAAGCCCTTCATAGTGAAAATTTTTCATGTGTCTACACGCCACAATAAAATGGCATTGTCGAACGCAATAAAATGCATTTATCAGATATTGCAAACCCTCTATTTGATTCATCATAACATTCCTCATTGATCTTAGGGGAATAGAGTTTTGGGGGCATGCTACCTTGTGAATCACATGCCCTCTACAGTTTTTACAAGGAAAGATTCCTCATCAAGTCCTTTTTCTTCGTATGCCATTTTTTCCAATTCCAGCAAAAAACCTTTGGTTGTATATGCTATATGCATAATGTTAGACTAACAATGACTAAACTTGACCCTTGTGCTATGAAAGTTTATTTGTTGGATGTTCTAGATCCCCTAAGGGATGTTGGTGTTATGATCCTTGTTAAAAGAACCTAGTCTAGATTGTATGTCTAGGCTAATGTCACTGTTCTTTCTTTAATCAGGTATCTATTTGAATCCTTTGGTCTGGATGTCTCTATACTTGCATATCCTAATATCTTGGTACATGTTTCTAATAACAATAGTGGTGATCCAAGGACTAATATGACTTCACATGGGCCTCCCCCTAGTCCACCTCTCCAAGGTAAATCAAAGACTATGATTCTCTCGTTTTTCGTAGCCTTCGGGAACTTTTGGAACGACCAAGAGTATTTGCAATTACTCCATGTTCTTCTGACCTCAACATAATAAAGTGATCATATGGTATTTTACGTTGATGATATTGTTATAACTAGTGATGATAAGAGGGAATAGTGACTCTTAGAACTTCATTTACAATGAATTTCAGACCAAGGTGATGTAATTGGATCAAGAATTACATCAGGGAACTCCTCAGTCGGATGTTTGCGTGCTGTATTTCCTTCCAGACAGGGAAATGCACTCCCAGAATTCAATTACAAATACATAGAATTTGAATATTCCGGACACACAGTCCTTTACTAATGTCTTTCACACCTCCACTACAATCTGTTACAAAGACACGGATCACCAACTAACTAAAAGATAGTAGACACACAACTAACTCATAGGAAAAGACTGAACTACCCTTTGTTCCTCCTAGAATAAGTATATTTAATCGCGTTTGCATCAATACCCCTCGCCACCTTGTCCTCAAGGTGAAAGTCGAAAAGCTTGGGTGTATTAGTTGGTAATCTTCCCAGATGCTACAAATGTTGACGACCCTTACCACTACACACTTCCAATTCTCCTCCGGCCTTAGTTCTGCAATTCAGCAAGGATTTAGGTGCCACTATCCAACTCTCCTTCAGTCAATTCGGAAGGAAGTTCTCCCACCATTAGACCTTCACCCAACGCCGGCCTGAGCTGAAAAACATGAAAAAGTGAGTGAATCTTCACTGAAGGTGGCAAATTCAATCTGTACGCTACTTTGCCCACCCTTTCCGTCACTTTGAATGGAGCATAGAATCATGCATAAAGTTTCTGATCGACTTGTGTTCGTAGTGGTCATTGTCTATATAGCTGCAATTTCATAAACATACGGTCACCCACGTCGAATTCTCTCTCTATTCTGTGCCTATCCGCTTGGTCTTTCATAAGCTTCTAGGCTTTCAGCAACTAACCTCAAGTCATCAAGGATCACATCTCTCTCCTTTAACATGTCTTCCACCGTTTGTAAGCTCTCCGACCCTTTCACAGCTGTTCAAGATCGCTAGAGGTTCTCTCCCATACAACACTTAAAAAGGGGAGCATTGCAACGATTAATGGAACATTGTCTTATAGGAGTGTTCGGCTCATCCCAACCACCGCTTCCATTTCTTGGGGTGTTCTGAAACAAAACACCTCAAAATTGCTCTAGGCAATGATTGACGACTTTGGATTAACCAACTGTTTGAGGATGATAGGCCATTAATATGCTAGCTTTGTCCCTAACAACACATACACTTCCTTCCAAAAACGACTAACAAAAATCTTGTCTCGATTTGATACAGTTACTTGCCGTACACCATGGAGTTTTACAATTTCCTTTGCTAAAATAGTAGCCACTCCTTGAGTGTCAAATGGCTGTTTTAAGGCCACAAAATGAGCATATTTGCTCAACCGATCCACCACCACCATGATCGCATCCATTTTATCCGATTTTGGTAATCCCTCGATGAAATCCATAGCGACTTCATACCGAACTTCCAACAGTAAAGGGAGAGGTTGTAACAACCCAGACGGAGACCCTCTTAAAACTTTGTTCGGTTGGCAACTTCACAACCTTTCACAACTCCTATATATCCTTACACATTCCCAACCAAAATAATTCAGCGGCTATGCCGAAATGTTCGATCAATACTTGCATGCCCGCCTACTGTAGAGGCATGAAATTCCTCTAATAACATCTTGAGGACGGATGATGACTTTGACAACACCAACTTGCCTTTGTAGTTTGAACTACAAAAAGGACTATCGTACCTCGAACCCTTTATGCACGGTACTTCCCTCCTCAAATTCGGACAAAATTTTGCCTAACACGACATCCCTTCGGATCTCAATTTTAAGTACGTCCCATTGCCTCCATTGCAGACCACCTATTACTGCCTCATTCAACTTCCATACTGGACAAAGCATCAACTGCTAGATTAATTATATTGCACACCTTGTACCCAATCACAACTCAAAATTTTTTCATCACCCGTTTTATGATATTGGTGATCTATGACTCTACTTAAGCCATGGTTTTAAAAATCGGTTGAGGTGTGCGCCTTGGGGCGCGGTGGCCCAATTTTTTTTGGGAGGCATCACCTCTCACCACGCTTTGTAGAGATGAGGCGGTGGGTGAGGCTGTGAGGCGGTAAACGTGTGAGAGGTGTACGACTTGTTTAAAGATAACAGTTCAGTGTTTGTTAGTGTTACAGGTAGTGTCAGACCAACAGCAGCCTCAGTCTCACAGTCTCACAATCCCAATTTGTTGTTAGTGGGAGTGTCAGACCAATAGTTTTTATGTGTACATAAGTCTCCCACTTTGAAGATCATTACATGTATTATATTCCTTACTTATCCATCTTACCACCGGTAGAGGCATCCAACATGGTGTATGTATGTATACCGGTGCAGTAAAGTCAAACATCATCAAAGCTATTTCTAAGGGCTATATTCTCCCTCTCTCATACAATCAGGAACATACATTATATATAACAACTTTTTTCTTCTCCCACTCGGTGCTAGAACCCAAAAGTTATATATATACATAATGCTTCTCCCACTCTGAAAGCACAAGGATTAAGCTTGCCTCACAAAAAAAAGTAGCATACAACAAAACATCAGCACCAAAGATACAAGGTGGAAGAAGAGTGATTGATCGTCACGTCTCTACATGTTCGTGCATGGCGGGCTACATAAAAAAAGGAATGATCTTTCCAAAAAAGATGCAAGGTGGAACCGGGAAATGACTCCATTAAAAAGATAAATTGGCATCCAAAACTATACAATGTAGCAACAATGTATGTTCCTTCGGTACACTTTACCAAAGAAAGCATCCTTAACTGTGTTGTTAATAGCAGTTATCGGTCCTATATAAAAGAACGGTGGTAAAATAGTGATGGTAAATTGCGGTTCCGAGAATAGCGGTGCAATTTACCGTTATTGTACCAATATTTGACGTAAAATAGCCATCGACGACACCTCCTCCAGCCTCCTCCCCACGAGTCTTAGCTCGTTTGTGAACATTTCCTATTTTGTTCGCCTGAAACTTGCTTAAGTTGATGTTTGATGTTGAAACTATATTTTTAATTAATGCATATAATATGGTAAGTTAGGTACGCATACATATACATTATATATATAAAATAATTATTATTATATGAACCCCTATTTTTGGACCGCGATAACCGCTATTTTGAATCTCAGTATTGACCGCTATTTTGTATTTTGACTATTCTAACATCATAGTCCCTAAGTATATGTTTTTCATGAACACTATAATGAGCATAAGAGCACAAGTAGCTTTCAGGGAAAAGGATGCACAACTTTCCACCAACACATTCTTCAACTTATAGACTCTGTAAAATTTGTCCAAATGCCAAAAATCATTACTTGTGCCAATTCTTCACAAAAGAGGCAAAGTAACAAAACACTTCTGCTATGATTAATGTTTATATGTTCTCCACCATTATTTCTTGATTTGACATTTACATCAAAATTAGCTTTTCTGTTAGTTATAATCCGATCTTTCACTTTGGCAACATTTATACTCCCAAACTAACCGTTTGAAGTTACTGATATACAAAAACTTCATCATTTTAGCCTTGGCATGTGATATTTCATCGCAGGAACATTTATTATATATTTATATTACCTTAATTAGCTCGGGCATATGCCTATCTTAAGTTACTGACCATATTTAAGGTACCATGACAACTATGGAAATACATATTTTGACTAGGATAAAAATACAAAGCATAGTAAATGAAGAAAACAAAAATCTAACTAAAGCTTGCCCTTGTGAAAGTGTGATGCCTAAAAGCCATAAAACACACATAATTTGATCCATAAACAATCTTAGAACTCTATTTGGGATGGGAATTACATGAATTCACAAAATCCTTACCCTCATACTACTAAAAATTTACCATGATCATGTAAAAGAACCTCATCTAAACATATATATTACAATAGGTTATCGATCAGTTTGTAAGTCTGTTTTAGGCAAGAGCCTTGGGAGAGAATTTGGCCTCGAGCCAGAAACCCTGTTGCAAACATCCAATTGATGTCTAATACAGTTCTTTATCCCTCAAATTAGTCCGGTGTTCATCACAATGTTTACTACAATGAAAATAGAAGCGTTGATCTACTATATTCATCATTTCATCTATAACTCAATTTACCTCCAACTCATATATTTGTGTTCTGTATTATGTAGGTTTTGCAACCCTTCTGTGAGAACTGCTTATGTTCAGCAGACCCCCAAACTCCCATTCCCACACCCCAAAGAAAAGCATAAAAATATCACCTTTCAAGTTATAATCATAACAAACAACTACAAGATAATACAATAGGACCAACAATAAAAATGGTACAGATTCTCTCCCAACCAGCCGTCGATGAAAGGTGGTATACACCATCAGACTCAAATAAATATGTTATTTGCATAAAAGTGTGTAACATACAGAAAATCTGGAACACTTTGATCCGTAATCACCACATAACACTATTAAAATATTGTTTAGTAGAATTGAAATTCATTTTGCAACAAAGATCTAAAAGATTGCATCATGAAAGATGCTATAAAAAATGAGCTTGTTGGACACTTGGACTATCTCGCTAGTCACAGAACAACCCTCCTAAGATATATGTAGGATCTCCCCTCTAGCCCTTTAAAGAGAATAAGGAGCTTGACAAATTCTAACCCAATATCAAAGCCAGCGTCTAGCACCCTAGGGGCTCGATACTCGTCTACACCCAATCTAGTCTGGCCTTCGCTGAAGGGGCATGTTGCGATCCCTAGTGTGTATGCGTCTATATATATAATATTATATAAGGAGGTTCAAGAGAGATCCAAGAAAAAGAAGAGCAAGAGAACCCTTTCTCAATAGTTGGATTTAAAAAATATATGCCCTAAATTTGACTGTAACCACCCCTATATTGATATAGTAGAAGTTTACATGCATAATATGGCCCAGATAGTAGAAGTTTACATGCATAATATGGTTCAGACACTGAATCGGAGAACTCGAACCTCCAATCCTGTTTTATGTTTCGTTTCATTCTTTGTCCCTCTAAATTTTATTATATGGTTCTTTGTGGTTTTGAGAGAGCCAGAGTGATTAGTTTGTAATTATTTTTATGTAGGATTCTGGTGTATTAGTAGGGTTCAACATTTATCTCGCATTTTAATATGTTTATTAGTTAATCTTTTAGGTGTACGTATGCAATAACGAATTGTAAACTTGAATTTTATAAGTTTTTAAGAACATGAGGTAAATGTTTTACAATATAGTAACCATACTAGAATGAATATACACTCATATGAATATATTCATGGTTGACTTTGAAGATTTGGTTTAAAAGTTGGATAAAATTATTGATAAGGTGTCAAACAAAAAGAATAAAATACTCATTTTTCTATAATTTGTATATAATAAAATTAATTATATTAAAGATAAATTTGATTTAAAAATGAGGCAAGTCTATGGAGTTTCCAAAACTTGATCCATTAGCTTGAGAAGGGTAACATGGGTTTCCGAAAACCCTTCTAGGCCCCGCACCTGGGCTTGTGCAAAAGTTTGAGGAAAAAGGAAGACAGAAGGGAGGAGGGAAAAAAAGGAGGATGAAAGGAAGGAAAAGAGAAAAAAAAAAGGTAAGAAAGAGATGGAGTTTGTAAGTTTGTAAAGTCAGCCGTAGAAAAAGAAAGGCAACTAATGAAATAGGTATAATGGAACATGTAAAAAGTAAGGAAACAGCATCCCTCCATCTATGGCATCGGCTGCCGTTTGGTTTATTTTGGTTCGGTTCGGTTCGGTTCGGGTTCCTACAATCGACTCTACTACCCTAGTCATACTCACAGAGAGAGTATATTCATGCTTAAAGAATTGAAAAAAAAAATCAAAATCCACACTTAAGTTGGGGCAAAAACAAAAAATAGTGAAATTACCAAACAGACAAAATCAGTAATTAGTAGTTACATGGATTGAATAATAGGAGATAATATAGAGAAGCATAAATGTTTCTTTGCAACCCTTGATTACAAGTAAAGGGGTCGTACATTAAGAGAACTTAGCAAAATCTACACTTTTATGCTATTTGATGAGAACCGAATTGACAAATTAATGCACTAAACATCAAAACTTCATACCTCCATTCGCCCTCTTCATAGGGGGAGTAGTCGATGTCCTCTCTTCTAACACAATTAAACATCAAAGCAGCCAAAGATGCAAATATTCCTACAAGTAAAAGACCATATCCCCAAAACAAATCAAACTAAGTTAACATATCAGACTAAAACATCAATCAAGAAAAACCTAACAAGAGAGAGAGAGAGAGATAACCAGGAAGATAGTGGAGAAACGAGATTTTAACAGAACTGCAAACGACAGCGTCGACCCAAAACCACCAGCCGGCTCCAAAAACGGCGCCGGCAACGCCTGGCCCGAATATTCCCCACAATTCAGATAAATCCATGGATTGATTCCGCTCCGCCTTGTTGGGTTTCGCAGATGCGTGCTATCACAACTTTCTACAATTGAAAACAACACAAGAAACTGTGGGAAAGGTTTATGAATCAGCTGACGACAATCATCAATGGATCGATCAATATCTGAATCAACGGTGCTGCGCTGTAACTTTACTAGCACATGACTATTTAAATTAGATGCAAAATACAAAACTTACAAACGGGGTGATGCCTAATACGCTTGTGGACCTGTTCAAGGCCAAGGTCAGGTTACGTATTCACAAAGAATGGATCAATTATTGATTTCCTTTGTGTTACGTGGCATAATTTCCTGTTTGATGAAATAAAAAAATCTTATTTTTTCGTTTTGTCTCATGTCATATTAAATGTGAAAAATGAGACGAATGTCATGTATTGTTTGGTAGAGTCTCATGTATCAAATGCAACCTTAGGATACCAACTAACTTTAGCCGGTATCAAACCTTTTTGGTTGGTATATATTGGTACGGTTTTGTACTAACATCGCACCAGTAAAAAGTTATACATTTATTTTAAATTGATGTGTTTGGGTAAAAAAATCGCACCATGATCGACGAGGAAAATTATCACGATAAGACCTTTGCACGTTGATCATCAAGGCGGCTAAGATATCCACGACAAACGACCGTCAATGGTTGACATCAGCGACATAACATTTTCTTTAACTTACCTCGATGTTGGTCATGAATTATATGAGTTATAGATTCAATTATGATAATAGAAATCTAGAGTCAAAAAGATCAAGCACACAATATGTCATGTATTTCACTTGGAGAAAGTATTACACCTTGGTTTACACACGCTTAAGAGATTATCTATGAGTAATGGGTTTAAAGACAAATTAGGACCAACAAGTTCAGTCGTTAAACATAACAAGTCTAAGGACTGGACGAAAGATATCAAGATTATGATCCCTATGGAGCTTGTATCGAATCTACATCTCCGACTGACTTCAGTGTTTGAGGATGGCGCTAGTATTCGCTAAGGAAGTCTTATGGTGTTATCTAATCATCTCGAGTTTATGGCCCTATCATGCCATGATGAGATTGGTTGCAATGGTATTAAGATAAGGTTATTCGTATGCCACCATGATTCCCTTTAAGAGTTTAGTATCGAATTCTAACCTAGCATTGGTACCCGTTGCATATGTTGAGCTAGTAAGACCAGAAGGACGCACGTTCTAGAAAATAAGTAACAAAAGCTATTTATACTAAGGGTAGTCACAAGGTGACTTCTCATGATATTTACAATATAAACATATTAATCTTGAATACACCAATTAAGCCCAACAATCTCCCCTTTTGGATTCAAGCACGAACTTCAGTTTTCTTCCGTAACCCAAAGTAAGATTCAAACCTTCTGATTGCATTATGGAAATCAAATTTGTCTTGAATTGTGTCCACAACTCCTTCAATCAGACTTCTACCTTTTTATCCATCTTCTCTTTTTCTCTCTTTAGCATCAGCATCAAGCTTTTTACTCAGCTTCTATCGGATCAGCTTTAATGTACCATTAGAATACTTTTGAATTTCATTGAACCTCATAAAGCATTTATTTGATTTGGCATTCTGATAAACAACTCCAAATTCGGGTTCCTCAAATATGATCATGATCGGTAAACTATCAACATCTTGAAGACTTTGGTCTGGTTTGAATCAAATTTATCCTCCGTTGATTAGTCTCACAACCAATTTGAAACTTTGTGATATATGAGTACTTGACTTGTCTTCTCATGAATCTTTTAACATCATTAAGTGCAAGTATCACATCTTGAGGTCTGATAGTTCTTCTTCTGAACTCATGATATATAACTTCAAGATCATCTAATTTTAAGTTAGAGAAGTTAGGTTCAGAGAATAACCACTCTTTCCCATCTTGTCTCACAACCTTGAACATTGGATTCCACAATCTGACAGATTTCCTTGCATACACTTCTTTGATTGACACACAATCCTACGCTTAAGGTTTGTGTTCACTATATGCTTTGCTTGAACCTGAGCTTTCAACATATAAATGTATTCAAAGATGAAATCTTGATTGAACTTTGAAATTCCTAACACTTTCGCCAGATCTTACTATTTGATCTCTTTCACAAAAATCTTTCTTTCATCGTCTTCAAGAAAAGCAACTTTAATATCAGTTCGTTCTCATTTGATAGCTTGTTGACTTTCTACAACAGCAGTACCAGACTTTTCTGCCTTTGAAGGCTTATATTACAGTTTTACCACTGAAGGCTCAGACTATTGTTGTACTCTTGAAAACTCAGGTTGCTCAACAACTGTATCCGAAATGTCAAAATCATCAAAATCATTATCAGAAAAGGATATTAACTCTTGAACTTATTCTTTGATTTTCAATTATAGCACTTTCTACTTCATCTGGTTTGGAATCAATGTAAATCATTTCAACAAACATCTTATTCACCTTTTTCAGCTCAGATTCTCTTGCTTCAGAATCCTTAGGCTTTTCAACCCTTGGATCAACTTCACCATGTAAGACCATCTGTCTTTCATCCATATTCTCACTTCTACCAACATCTTGAACATCACAACCTGTTTACTTTGACCAACAACTTCAACTGTACTAGTACCCTCAGTCATCTTTTGCCTTTTATTCTCCCTCTCATGCTGATTTTGATCATCCTGGTCATCATGCTTTCTTTTATGACTAATGGCCTATTCTTTGCATGTCTCAAAATTCTGAACCCGTTCAACTAACTTCTATAAAGATTCCTCAATTGCCGAAAGAGAAGTAGAAAAACTAATCGCACTAGTTAACCTATTGACGTTGGACATGACCTCTTATTTCAAAGTATTGGAGTGATCAACAGTAACCATACCAAAGGGTCTTTGGCCTAGCGGTATCGTAGCCCTGGCCCTAGCGGTATCGTAGCCCTGGCCTCCTAGGAGGTCAGGGGTTCAAACCTCACCATAGGTGAGGAGGGTGTGTGAGTTTATTTGTTGCATTTGCCGTATATAAATATTATATACTTCAAAAAAAACGGTAACCATATATGCCACTGTCTCAGCTGATCGTCTTAATAATCCAAACAATTCATAATCTTCTACATCTAACTCAAAGCTTGAGAATGTAGCTTCACATATAACAAGGACTTCAGTTCAGCTATAGAAAAATCTTCAACAAACTTGGCTTGAGGTTGTGGAGGTTGTGGAGGTGGTGGTGGTGAATCAACAATAGCAACGACACCATTTTAGAGAATCAAATTGTTCAACAAATGTATCCTTGACAACATTTAGAGCATTGTCCAGTTACTCTTTAGTAACAAAATTCGGGAAAATAACACCTGGATCACATAGATTACCAATTGTTATGACAATTGAAATAATTCTAGTAGGACTTTCATCCTATACTCGCAGAATACCTACAGAAGGTTCTACTTGGGATGTACCGGCTACATTAATAAGATGAGTTATAGAAGTATGTATATGTCTACCTAAATGTGTATCGGGCTCTAGGCTCACTTGTGCAACAAATGAAGTCGGTGACCGGAGTAGCTGTTTACCTGTTTCAATATCTAAGTTCTCCGAGTGGAAACCTGATAGCACATGTGGTAAATCTTCGTGTAAAAATGAAATAGTCATTTATTTAGAGATAACTGAGTGGCTAGGTGGGGTAGACTGTGATTACACCACTAGGTCCATGATGACTTGTTCAATACCCAATCCCAACACATGAGATTGGATAGTAGATGTGGCTACCCGGTTGACGGACACAGTTTGGGAAGGATCACCTTGTTCTTTAGATCCTGTCACACTCTCAACATATTCTTTTTGCGTCCATACACTCGAACTCTCTACATTTTCAACTAAAGCTCCCTCAAATCCATGTTCAATACCTTCATTTATCTGAAAGATTAGATTATCAACATCAGCATCACCATCATTATGAGTATCATCATCATCATCATCTGAATTATCATCAAGATCTTCATAATTATCACTTTCAATATCAATTTCGGTACTTCCAATAGAAGAATAACTTCTATTCTTCTGGAATATGTTCCTGAGCAATAGATGCAAATGCACTCCAAACTCCTTTAGCACCCCTCTCATTTACATTTTCTCTCTTCATGCCCTGATCCGGAACCCAAGTATCCTGATCTGTCTCAGTCCTAATTCTAGACCCCTCGCTACTCTTATCTATCCTAGGGATTGCTTCTTAAGGAGGTCCCTCCAGCTTTGGCTGGACCATCGAAGCTCTAAATGCCCTCTACTCCCTCACACTCTGTTCATCTTGATTTGAATAAGCTAACCGATCATCAAGAACTTGTAGAGTTCCAGGAAAATCACCCTCATCTTTGTTGCAGAGATACTTCATTTCATATTTAGGACATGATAGTGAAGAATATCTTGAAGGAATGTTGCGGTTGGTGAGTATCATGCTACGAATGATAAGTTGTAGAAATCTCTGATATGGCATAAAATTTCTTGCCTTAGAATTTGCCTTACCAGCTATAAGCTCAACCAACTCTATCCAGAAGATTGTAGCATAGTCATAGTGCTTGTTAAATACTACACCATGAAATAACCGAAGTACTTGGAGATTACACCTATCTAGTCCTGTGTGCTTAGGTGTTAAGCATCTGTTCAGAATAGAAAACAAAGCATGCCAGATTGGTGGTATATACATTATCTTGAACATGTTTGTAGTTGCTAATGCTCTTGTGTAGACAAAAAAAACCTGATATCATTACATAGTTGTTCTTTAGAAACAAAGTCATCATAGTCATCTTTGCCTTGGATAACATTCTTGTTCGGAAGCTGTAGAACCAACCTCATTTTTCTCATAGTCATTCTTGTAAAAAAATGATCCACAAATGCTTAAAATCGGTAATTTTCTTATGGAATGTAGGTGAGCGTGTTCTAGAACTGTTGTAGGTAAATGATTGGAACATCAGTAGTAGCAACTAGTGCATATTCCAAAGGATACCTTTCAAGATTTCTACACTGGATGTTTTGTCTACATGTGGCAAAGTTAAAATGATGGTTATTCAGTTTCAGCTCAAGAAATTTTGATCTCAAAATCAGTTCATCATCTGGATTAAGGACATTAACTGATTGAGATCGGGATGGTAAGTGAGATCTGACAGATAGCATCGGATGCTCATCATCAGAATGTTGATTGGACTGATGTTACTCAAGATCT